AATGGGAGACTTCCTAAAGCAGAGGATAGGCATAGTCCTTACACTTACACTAGTCCCCTGGATTCTCTCCCTAACTTTCAACACTCTCCCTGACAGTCTGGGAACCTGGCCCTCCACTAACCACTCACAAAATGCGTGCCAACCCAGGGAGCCTGTGCCTTAAAAAAGTACTGCCTGGCACTAAACATGGCCACGGAGGTCAATAAGGATACCAGTGTCCAATCAGACAGCTGTTCCCCCTGATGATTGCAGGAAGTCGTAGAAGAACTTAGTTCCTCACACCCTCCTTCCTCTTCTGCATCACTGCTAAGCCTAGAGCCACCTACAGAAGGGAGTATAGACTGCACTTGCCTACAAGCAAGTAGAATTGTTATTAGGAATACAGTAAAATAAATTATTGGCTATTTTTTCTTTTAAGTTTATAACTTTGTACCAATTTTTGCAGCAAACACTATTATAAATATATCACACTGTTGGGCATTGTGGCATATTGCTTTGAGCATTTTGCATACTCTATATACCCATATAGCCATCCATATAGCCATCCTTCTGTTTAGTCAACCTAGTTTTATTGTACTATTGTACGTAACTACTGTAACATAGTTTTATTACCTGCTGTACTTGTCGGTATAAATGTAATTTTTCAATTTCCTTTAACAAGGTGACAATGCTGTTCATTCTGTAGTGAGATCGCAGAACAAAGTTGTCACCCTATGGAGAAATAGACTTGGAGTTCTAAACAGACACAGTTATGGCAACAGGTTTTATTCTCTTCTGAAAAAAGTTTAAAGTTTATGAATAAAAGTTGACCACTATAGTTCAGGTAGTTTTATAAGGCTTGTCTCAATTACCAATTTTACTGGGCAACTTGACCCGCACTTAAATGTGAATAAAAATATAAATTAAGGCATTTGAAATAAAAAGGAATGTATATACTGAATATTATCACACAAAGAATAACCCCCTTACAGGTACCAGTATATTTTTCTTACAGTGGTCCTCTCTTTATCTTCTTGGGATGGAAAGAAGAATGAAGAGCAAGAGAAGGGACAAAATGCATTACTTGCTTTACTGCTGGTCATATGTCTGAAGGTTTAGATCAGTTTTTGGCATCCTCAATACCCTCCCCTTTTTCCCTTGGAACCCCCTTCTAAAAAGGACTGTACCTACAGCTCATGGTGCATTAGCATGAACATAAATTTGAGAAACGTTTAAAGATAAGATTAATTTATATGGTGTACCTAGTTTAGTGTACAAAATATTTTCAGTAATATAACTAAAATGAAAAATTACTGTAGAAAGTAAAAATTGTATTGTCCTCCAACATGAATGATCATTTTAACAGTGAGCCCTGTAGTTAGTGGAAAATGGCCCCATTTCATTGGTGGTCAATGTAGTTGTCAGATCAACCAACCATGGTCACAGCTAAAGAAACCCCTAGTATTCTCAGGAGGGACCCTAGGGTTCCAGAGAACCCTGGTTGAGAAACACTGATCTACCCTGTGACACAACAACTTCACTGAGATTCTAACCCATCCTGACTCTATCCAAAATGTAAAAAAAAGTTTTCAGCAGACATATACATTACAACAAAGGTAAAATTCTGCTTTAAGAATGTAAGATGAATGATTCCCTTAGTTAATCTGTTATCAGATCTTCAATATTATCAGATCTAAAATGATAAATACAGCTCTGCCACAGCAGATTGCTGTGTGTGCCTATATTTTTCTGTGTATATAAAATACTCTGTAAAAATAATTTTGCTAAACTTCAGAGAAACTATGAATGTTGGTTCTTGCCATATAATACTGCTTAATAAAGCAGATCCAAATATAAATATACAACCTCTGGCTGTTTCGTGCTCCAACCTTAGATAATCAGCTTTTTCACTGTGCTTCAATTTGGCACATGTTCCTTTTTACTTTACAGCACAACACTATGCATATTAAACAACAATATCAGTACAATGACATAAATATGTGGAGGAAAACCAGCAGTATCATTAAATATCAGCTGCTTTGGAAAACCAGCAGTATCATCAAATATCAGCTGTTTTACTGGGTTACATGGTAGAGCGACAGCAATGCTGTAATCCCTCTTATGAATAATTATCCTCTGAGCAAATTGTATGTAAAACACAACCACACTACAATAACAAAATGACCTTTTATGTTAAAAGAAAATCACTTGTTTGTGTTCCATTGGGTTGCCTTGCTATGTGAAAGAAAACATTTAAGGATGCAACATAGAATACCAATAGAATTGTAGCGCTTCCCCCATAGGAGCCTCTGGATAGGATGTGTCCTCTATTCTTTGCCTTGACCTTCCCAAGAACCTTAGCCCCTCTGACACACTAGGATGAGTGTACAAACATACAATATCATAGGAAATCACTGAAAGTAATACTTAGTACCCAACAGTAGCGCTATATCAAAGAAAACAGGCACCAAACCAGATAGTACAGGCAAACTTAATTAATTGTCATCCAATATGGTTGGTAACAACAAGGCAAGCATAAAATGGATTAAAAATCGTAATAACAAAATTTAGAATATAAAGTGAATAACAATAAGGACTAGGCATAAGATGACATTTGGCCAGATCAGCATTAACAGTAGTAAAGTTTAATCGACCAATTGTGGAACTATACTGCCAGAAGACAATTATGGCTGCGATGCTAATACTGTATTGACCTGTTATGCACTGTCAAAAAGTAAAGGAGGATGGTAGCGGAGGGGGCAGGGGAAAAAAGGGGGGATTACAGAATAATTATTATGGGAGGAGCAGTCCTTGGAGATGTTCTTCTGCTGGCTATCATTGGAGATCTTTAGGAGAATTAGTGCGCTTAACAACAGTCTCAGTTAACCTGCATGCAGTATAGATACAGTATAGTTTCAGTATAGTCTTGGCACAGGTGCAAGGTAGATATGACTCAGTTGTGGTAAAGGTTCCATATAATGCAGTATAGGGTTGGTATAGGTACAGTATGGGTGCAGTATAGATTGGATACACTTGGTGTCCTGCTCTCAGTAGCTCAGTCTCTGCTAGTAGTATCAGCAATGGGTGAATAGCCCTTTCATTAGTCCCCAGGATATGGCGGTGACCTCTTGCTGTAGAATGGGGGCCCTCCCAGTCTCTCTCTGGAAGCTTCTGGTAATCAGTGGAAGCAAAGGGTGAGTGGACGCTCCAATCTCTCTGTGGCTGTGATGAAGCTGCTGCAATGTGGGCGGTGCTGTGTTGCCCCAGGGCAGGGGTGGGCAAACTGCGGCTCTCCAGCTGTTGCAGGACTACAAGTTCCATCATGCCTCTGCAGGTCATAGCTGTAACTGTCAGTTTTGTAATGTTGCAATGCCTCATGGGAAATGTAGTTTCACAACAGCTGGAGAGCCGCAGTTTCCCACCCCTGGCCCCAGGGTGTCCTCATTCCCAGTGTCAGGCTCAGATCTCCACTGATATAAACTCCTGCTGGCAAGCAAATATCCAGACAGAGGTGCTCTCTCTCTCTCTAATTCCCTCTGTGCCAAGAGGAAAAAAATTGCCAGGCGGTTTAATGAAAATCATCTTTGCACTCTCCACACAGTGCCAATTGGGTTCTGTAGTGTAAGCATTATAGTGTAGCCATTGTATGGCTGCTGTCTCAAACTACAATTCCAAGGATTCTTAGCGCTCTACATAAACATCTGTGGGTTTGCATGATTTTAGCTCTCCCCTGAGAGCTGGAGAAGAATGGTGCAGCATAACATCAGTATCTCAGTAGAAGAAGAGAAAATGAAAAGGCAATGGGGTTGATTTACTAAAGGCAAATACACTGTGCACTTTGCAAGTGCAGTTGCACTACTTTTTCCCAAAGCTTAGTAAATGTGGTTGTGCTGTGCTGATTCCCATCATTCAAGCATGTGTAAGCAAAAATGTTTTTTTTATTTGACTTATTGTTCAAATATTTTACATTTCACCTGACTGGGTATTCTTTGTGAAGTGAAGCTATACTACATTTACTAAGAAAAAAAGAGTGCAACTGCACTTGCAGAGTATACAGTCTATTTTCCTTTAGTAAATCAACTCCTCTGCCTCCTTCTCCTTATTACTGTATATGACAAGACATTCTGTAAAGTTGTTTGCTTTGCCTGCCTGGTTAGTTAATTGATATGACAGTGGCCTGACTTTATGCTGACAACACACCTGGATCTGGACTCTGCATATTGGTATCAAGTAAAAGAATTCCATAGTTAAGTGCAATGCAAACAATAATTCTGATGCACACTCAATAGCTAATTGGCTACTGACAGTCTACATACTGAAACTGTAGGTGTAGTGTGACGTGAGCATTTTCTAAGTGTCTGAAGTTCAGCTTAACATCAAACCTTAACTCCAAGCTAACAGCTACATATTCAACTAAGGGATACACATGAGAGCTATTTTGCCTACCATAGGATTTGTATTCCTGTCCAGTCAGTCCTGAGATTTACACAGCCCTAACTGATAAAACAGCTAGGTTGGTGACCTGACCTTTCTCTGCTTCAGTTAACCTCCTCTGTGGTCTAATTATTTCCGATTTTTTGTGCTGAAAGCGGTACCATTTTATTGCATGGAAATATGTAGTTTTTTATTGTAGGCTGTAATTTTTAGGAATAACTCACTGCAATCTACCCGAACAAGAGTCTAGTAAACATCCCGGGTAGGATAAAATTTGAAACACGAAATCATAAATTATAATTTAATAAATAATCATAAAAAATAATAATATAATAATAATAAATTTAATTCAATAATATAATCAAACCAAAAACACTGAAATTTGAAATACAGAGGCAAATTCGCACATAGCTGAGCAAAGTTGCAAAATCGTTTTCAGTGTCTGATGACGAATTTCCCCACGAATCATTATCACTCAATTCTGCAAGTGGTTCTGATTTGCTATCGCTGTTCTCTAGCCGGTCGAAAACCGCTTTTGACGTAAAGGGACGCTTTTTGGACGCCATAGACTTTTCTAAGTTTCCAGGCAGAAAGAACAGTCAAAATACAGGCAGGGCACAGGACAAAGCACTAGGGACAAAATGTATGTGAAATGCATTGAAACAGCAATGTTTTACTATGTAATAGTCATTTTAAAAAACATTTAAAAAATGTCAAATTTGCCGCCGGTTCCGGCGCCCGTACGTCCCGACGTCACAGGAACCGGAACACGGAAGCCGGATACCGGCATCGGCTGGAGGAGATGGCCGGGGACACTGCAGGGGACACATCGTGGGAGCAAAGGACAAGGTAAGTGCTGCAGGGACTCCCAGAGCAATGCCGCATGGTAAGCCCAAGTGTAGCTCGGGGTTACCGCTTGTGGTACTGAAATTTTACCCCGAGCTACACTCGGGATTACCGCCAGGGAGGTTAAACCAGTTAGGTCACTGACCTGTTTCTGACCTGTTAACATTGTAGCAACAGCAACAAATGAAGGTCATAGCTCTCTTTTTTTGGCATGTGGCACTCTTTCTAGGCAGAGTTCCAGTAAATGGAGATGGATTAATCAGCCTTCAGTGAAAGTGGCCTCTTTGAGCAGAATGAAGAAGAAAAGAAAAACAAGGAATGCAAGAAATACAAAGCCTGCAATTATCTATAAGTATACATTTGTAGATTATCATTACTGGACATTTCTAGAGGAGCCTTTATTGTAATTTTTATAAGGGTGAAGTTCCTCTTTAACTTCTTGGTGCAGCACCCTTTAAGGGGTTTTAGATACTGGGAGGAGGGGGTGGGGTTTGCGATCATGTGACCTCTCGATCTCTACTTGTGATTGGGAGCTTTCCGTTAGCCGACAGTAATGGTGCTGGAAGCATGCACGTTGTGTGCTCTCGGCCCAGGTCTGTTTAACTTAAGGCCCACCTGCCGAGAGGCCACATATACACTATATTGCCAAAAGTATTGGGACACCCCTCCAAATCATTGGATTCAGGTGTTCCAATCACCTCCATGGCCACTGGTGTATAAAATAAAGCACCTTGGCATGCAGACTGCTTCTACAAACATTTGTAAAGCAATGGGTTGCTCTCAGGAGCTCAGTGAATTCAAGCGTGGTACCGTGATAGGTTGTCACCTGTGCAATAAGTCCATCCATGAAATTTCCTTGCTGCTAAATATTCCACAGTCAACTGTTAGTGGTATTATAACAAAGTGGAAGCAACTGGGAACAACAGCAACTCAGCCATTAAGTGGTAGGCCACGTAAAATAACAGAGCAGGGTCAGTGCATGCTGAAGCACATAGCTATTTGTGCTTTCCACATCCCACTCTTCCCCTGACACTGCAAAAGTGGGATGGGTTCTGCAACACAGTCAGTTCTGCAAATCCAGAATGCAGTGGGCAGGGTTAGGTGTGACCAGCCACTGAATGACAATTCAGGCTAACGAATCAGCAGTGACAATGCTGATAACCACCCTTACCCCTGACACATCTTCTTAGAGCAAGTATCTACAGCTTATGTAAAGGACAACACTGTTTTAAATACAGTAGCAGAGCAGCAACTTTGTCTCAGCATCACAGGAAACTGCATATGGTGAACATAGCTGGCAAGATCCATGGGGGTTTGCAAGACTTTGCCGAGGGACTATGAGAAAACTGTAAAAACATATGCACTTACAATTAAAGTGGAAGTTACATAGTTACATAATCTGGCTGAAAAAAGATGAAAGTCCATCCAGTTCAACCATTGAAAAAAAAAAGATATAATCCTATACCCACAGTTGGTCCAGAAGAAGGCAAAAAAGCCAGCAAAGCATGATCCAATTTGCTCCTGCAGGGAAAAAAAATCCTTCCTGATCCCCCGAGAGCCAATCGGATATTCCCTGGATCAACTTTATCTATAAATGTTAGTATCCAGTTATATTCTGTGTATCTAAGAAAGAATCCAGGCCTTTATTAAAGCAATCCACTGAGCTGGCGAAAACCAACTCTTGAGGGAGTCTATTCCACATTTTCACAGCTCTCACTGTGAAGAAACCTTTCCGTGTTTGAAGATTAATTTCTTTTCCTCCAGACGTAAAGAGTGCCCCCTTGTCCTCTGTGATGACCTCAGGGTGAATAGCTCTACACCGAGTTCACTATGTGAACCACTGATGTATTTATACATGTTGATCATATCCCCCCCTTAATCTCTCAAGAGAGAATAAATTCAGTTCATCTAATCTTTCCTCATAGCTGAGCTCCTCCATGCCTCGTATCAGTTTAGTTGCCATTCTCTGTACTTTCTAGTTCCCCAATGTTCTTTTTGTGAATTGGTGCCCAAAACTGAACTGCATATTCCAGATGAGGTCTTACTAATGATTTGTACAGGTGTAATATGATATTTCTGTCTCTGGAGTCTATACCTCTTTTAATACAAGAAAGGATTTTGCTCATTTTTTGAAACCGCAACTTGGCATTGCATGCCATTATTAAGCTACCAGAACCCCCAGATCCTTCTCCACCATTGATTCCCCCAGTTGTACCCCCCCTAGTATGTATGATACATGCATATTCTTAGCCCCCAAGTGCATTATTTTGTAAAGGGCCTACGTGCTCAGACCGGACCTTTTTACTATTAATATATTTGAAGAATTTTTTGGGGTTGGTCCTGCTATCTTTTGCAATCTGTCGTTCATTTTCAATTTTTACGGCCTTTATTTCCTTTTTGCATATTCTGTTACATTCTTTGTAATGTTTAAACGATGATAGCGTTCCTTCATTTTTATATTTAATAAAAGCTCTTTTTGAAGAACTCCCATTTCTCTGTTGTGTTCATTGATGCCAATATTCCCTCCCAATCTAAGTCTTGGAGAGCAGCTCTCAGCCTTGGAAAATAAGCTCTCTTACAGTTGAGCGTTTTTATTTTTCCCATATGTGCTTGCTGTTTACAACTAACCATAAATGAAATCATGTTATTGTCACTGGTACCCAGATGTTCTTTTATATGGAAATTCGTAATAAGTTCTGCATGGTTTGAGATTACCAGGTCCAGCAGAGCATTATTCCTATTTGGGGCCTCTATGAACTGTACCATAAAATTGTCCTGTAGTAGGTTTAAAAATGTTTGCCCTTTAACTGTTCCTGCAGTACCATTACTCCAGTCAATTTTCAGGTAGTTAAAATCCCCCATTATTATTACTGTCCCAGCCCTTGAAGCCCTTTCGATCTGTGCAAGGAGCTGAGTCGTCACCTCCTCATTAACACTGGGAGGCCTATAACAAACTCCAATGATTACCTTTGTAATACGCACCCCCATGTGCAGTTCCACCCATAATACTTCAGCCTCATCACACTCTCCATCAACTAGGTCCTCATTCACACTCATTCTGAGATCACTTCTCACATAGAGACAGACACCACCACCTTTCCTATTTACCCTGTCTCTCCGAAAAAGAACATAGCCAGGAATATTAATGGCCCAGTCATGTGAATAATGAAGCCAAGATTCAGCAATACCAATTAAATCATAGTTCTGTTCATTTACCAAAGCTTCCAACTCACCTATTTTGCTTAGCAGACTTCTGGCATTGGTGAACAAACACTTTATTCATTGACACAGGTATTTTGCATATTTTTTATTTTCATACAAATGGTACCAATTCACTGGTTGTAACATGGGAACCTTCTTATCTGCCACTCTGTAAATTGTAAAGTGCAATGGTAAAAATTGAAAAGAAAGAAGACAGGGTGAAGATGGCTGCCCTGGGGTGCCGTGACAGCGTGGTACTGGAGGGCTCCATGTACAGGTAATTCTGTCATAATGCAGGGGGTCCATTATTTTGTATTTTTTTTCGGGTGGCTTACTACCACTTTAAGAGCTGCAGCGAATGTTTTTTTTTATGGGAAGCCAAGGTTCTGCATTAAAGTAGAATTATATGCAACACTTTTTTTTCATTTTGGAGGATTATAACCTCTGTCCCTTTTTTATTTTTGCCATCCCATTGGAGCCCCCCAGGTCACCATTGGAGGATTTTCCCTCTATTATTCTAGGGACAAAATTGGAGCTTTTCTTTTTATTTCACTTTCAATGATAATGTTAAACAGGTCACAAAGAGAGGGTGAAACGGGGATACAAACAACAATGAACCATCTCCACTAAAAAAGTTTTGCTATTAGTTATACTTTAAACTTGTTTTTTTTTCTCTCTTAATGTAGGAGAGAGATACATTGTATCTCTCTATTTCCTTGCAGAGAAAAAAAAAAACTGTTTGTAAAAAAAGAAAAAAAAAAGATAAATAAATATTAAAAAATAAAATAAAAAAGGAAAAAATACATAGAGGTTTGATCTAGTTCAGTGCCAGGGTTAGTGTTTGGGTCAAGGTCAGGATTTAGTTTTTTTTTTTTTCAAAACTGGTATCAGTGCCAGTTAATGTCAGTGTGTTTTAGGTAAAAGTGCGCACTAATGATTCTGGGCTGTACTACGGGAACAAACAACAAATAACATACACATATATGGTATCACTACGATCTTCAAGAGCTTGAAAATTTATTTTGGTTGTTCTTTGGTGTTAGGTTATAGTAGTAACAAGAAACACACAGCTAAATTAAAAAAAAAATGATTTTTTTTCCCTAATTTGTGCCAGTTTTTCTTTGATAATAAAAAAAATCAGGAGATATCCATTACCATTTACCACCAAATGAAAGCCCAATTTGTCCTGGAAAAAAACAAGGTATAATTCACCTGGATGTGCATAGTAGTGATGAAATGTATGGTTTTACCAACACATGTCAAAGTTGTAAAATGTTCCTTAGGCTTTAAGATTTGTTTTACGCTTAGGCGTGAAGGGGTTAAGTTACTTATACTTGGCTCATTTAAAAATACATTTAATGTTCCTTTTTTAGGCTCCATGCACACTAGCTCAAAAAACGCTGGACAAAAATGCTGGATAAAAAATGCTGGTAATAGGTTTTTTTTCAGGAGCGTTTAGGAGCGTTTAAGAGCATTAGCATTTTATTACGGTATTTACAGTACATGTAAAGGAAAAAAAAAGCTAGTAGCTAGGAGCTATTTAGGAGTGTTTAGTGTTTTTTTGTCCTGCTGGAAAAATGCTCCAAAAAACTGCAAAATTAATTTTTTTCTGCTGCTAGAAGCTCAAAATGCTAATAGCCTAAAGTAGTGTGCATGGTCACATAGGATAACACAATTTAGTTTCTTAGAGGAGAAAAAAAATGCTAATAACAGCTTATAGCACACGCTAGTGTGCATGGAGACTAAAGCCCAACTCCAAGAAAAAAAGGCAAAATCCTGAATAGACAATGATTTAACTTGCTCTTCAGTCCTACTTGCAAACACACGTTCCAGACTCTTCCTAAAGGACAATATTTCAAAGTCACATTTTCCTCTATAGCTTGA